ATTATGATGATAAATAATATATTCTCTTAATTTGAATCAGTTAAAAATCATGGTTTTAACTGACAATCAGCAGTGACTGACTTTTTGCTTCTGAATCAGTTAAAAATAACTGAAAAATTATCCACAAAACACCGACATTTTTCTAAATATTGTATATTAACGATTTGCTTGCATAATTCGAAAAATTTACTTGCAAAGTTTATTTTAAAATTGTGTAAAGATTTAAATTTCTCACTCCAATAAATGTCTATCGTCAAATTTTCTTAAAAATATAGCTTGAAACTTTCCTGAACATTTGAATTGCATTTTCGACTATATTGTCGCGAAAATTTTCCTGAAAATTTAACTTAAATTTTCAGGAAAGTTTCGCGCTAAACATTTACTGAAGTGGGATATTTATATCTTTCCACAATTTTAACTAAACTTTGCATTTAAATATTTCGAAGCTTGCGAGTAAATCTTTAGTAAATTTTTAGGAAAGTTTCGGTGCTATATATATAGGTAGTTATCACAGGAAAAAAAAAGTCTGACTCCGTTTACACCTTAAATTCAGCCCATGTATTTCACATAAGTCTGTCCTTGTTTAATGGGGCTGACTCCGTTTACACCTTAAATTCAGCCTCGAAAACAGGCTAAAAGTAAAACTTTTTTTTTAGTGTGTAAACGTGACTAATTGAATCAATCAAAAACAATTGTATTGAAACATCAGTTATTTTCAAGTAATTGTCAGAAAAAAAATATTACTATTTGAATTAGTGACTGACTTTTTGCTTCTAAATCAGGTATTTTTAACTGATTCAATAATTTAGAGTGTAAGATACAATATATATTGTCCAATGTATGAAATTTACAGTGAAATTTACGTGTGTGACGTGACGTAGGGGGGAGGGGGGGGGGTTCAAGATTTGTGACGAAGTGTGACATAGGGGGAGGGAGGGGTTAAAAATGGTCAAAAATCGCGTGACGTATTATGTGTACGGCCCCTAAATAATAAAACTCAACGCAGGATTTTAATTATTTTGTATACAATATTTTATTCAAATTCCTCGATAAATGTAATTATTCTTAAAAATTTTATTAAAATTTGTCAAATGAATTCAATTATTTAAAAATTTATTGATAAAATTCTTTATGAGAATTCAATTTTAGCAAACATTCAATTATTCAATAAATTATTTATTTTTTAATTTAAATAATTGAATTTTTCTAGAATTTTCTAATAAAAATTGATTTAAAAATGAATTAACAAATAATCGATTTATTATTATTTATGAAAATAATTGAATTATTGCAACGAAATTTATTACATTTTTTTAAAATAATTGAATTTTTTTGTGAAATTGTACTGTTTGTAAAGATAATTTAATTCTTGCGAAGGATTTTTGTAAATAATTAACTTATTTTAAAAAATTTTATAAAAATTTAAATTATTACAAAACATGAAGAAGACGATCACTCCGAGTCGAAGACTCGGAGTGATCGCCTTCTTCATGTTTTGTAATATTATTCTTATAAGTTGTTGAATTTCAAAAAGGTTTGAATTCGAATGTGTTGAAGAATTTTAATTCCTACAGAAAAATAATAATGATTAAATATTTATTTAAAAAAGAAGTTATTTATGTTTTTGAATAATTTTACAATTAAAGAAATTTGTAAATAAATGTAATAGAACATTTTTTTTTGAGTATCTAATAATTTTTAGAGTGAATCAGAATATTCTTTATAGGGTCAGGGAAAAAGTGAAAATTTTGTCTGGAAATCAGGGAAAAGTCAGGGAAAAATAAAATTAAATATTTGTGGCAACCCTGAATTACAATCGAATTGTAATCAAATAAAATTTGAATCAAAAAATTACAATTAGAATGGAATTAGAATCGAAAAATTAAAATTAAAATCGAATTAGAATTGAATTAGAATCGAATAAAATTATAATCAAAAAATTAAAATTATAACCGAATTAGAATCGAAAAATTACAATTATATTTGAAAAAAATCTAAAATGGAAATTAGTTTCGTCTATCGAGTCTAATTATTGGTCTAATTCTAATTTTATTGAAGTGTCACTATCGGTATTTTTATACTTCTCAGCGGTTAACTTCTTTCGGCAACAAGTGAGTACGAGGTGTCTACTCGACGAAACCTCTTCTCCAATTCTTTTTACTTTTATCTCTCTCTCTCTCTCTCCCTCTCTCGATTGTCACCTTTCACGTGTGTATTTTCTTTCTAGAAAATATTTTTTTTTCTTGTACAAGAAAAGAAATTGACATTTCTTATAAGAACTTTTCAGTACTTCCTTTCACTATTAATTTACGAATAGAATTGAGAAATGGAGAAATTTTAAATTAGATTGAGAAAAATGGAAATATTCGGAATTATTATTTTTTTTATTTTCATGTATAAATTTGATAATATTGAAATTTGGATCGGTAAATTATTTTAACGGTCCAATTATTTGGAGAATCTGTTAAGTGAGTAAGCCATAAAAGATTAGAGTAAAGCTCTGAATAAAGCTACAAAGCAAGTACTTAGAGGGCCATTCTCTTGAAAATCAGGAAACTACTTGGTGTTATAATAGAACGGCTTTGGTCACTGACAATCGCAGGGCAATTATCATCTTCAAATTGTATATTAGTTTGGAATATTAAGCAAATATTCCAAATTGGTATTGAGAGGAAGAGAGGGTCTGGCATTAACGGTTATTAGGTTTTTCACTTCTTGCTCTTGTTCTTTATTAGGGGGATTTTTCTATTTAAATAATTCAATTCTCGAAGAACTTTTGGAAAATTATTTAAAATAAAATTTACTTAGAGAGAAAGTTTAGATAAAAATTCTAGAAAATAGTTGAATCAGGATTGCCACAAGTCATGGAATTCAGGGAAAAGTCAGGGAATTTTATTAAAAGTACTGTAAAAAAATTAAATTTTTATAGAATTCATAACAAAATTATGAATTTTAGTGTCTTTTTCATTTGCCTTTAAACTTTATAAGAATTGCGTTTACAATTTTTATAAATAATTAAATTTCAAAAGATTTTAATTTGAAATTTTAGAAAATTTCAATTTTTAATGAATTTTATTAGAAATTTTAAAGAACTTGGATTTTTGAAAAAACTTAATAATTCAAATTCTTCTGAAATTATAGTTAAATTTTTAATATATATTTAATTAATTATTAAAAATAATGGATTTATAGAAGAATTTTAGTTATAAACACTAAAAAATTCAATTATGCTAAAAAATTTCCCTCAATTCAATGATTTTTAATATCTACTATTTTAATAAAATTTTCTAAAAGAATTGAATTATTTAAAAAAGAAATTTAATAAAATTCTACGCAAACATTTAATTATTTTTATAAATAAGGAAAATTTTACAACAATTCAATTATTTATACAAATTTTTTAAAAATTTCTTCGCAATAATTCAATATTCAATATTGATAAATAATAAAATTTTTACAAGGATACAATTATTTTCGTAAATAATAAAATTCTTTCTAGGAATTCAAATATTTTCATAAATAATAAAACTCATCGCAGAATTTCATTTAAGAAATTTTAATAAAATTCATTAAAAGATTTCAATTATTTAAAAAAATTTGTTGATAGAATTCTTTATAAGAATTCAGTTTAAAAAAACATTTAATTATTCTGTAAATTATTTATTTTTGTATTGAAATAATTGAATTCTCGTAGAATTTTCTAATAAAAAGTTATTTAGAAATGAATTTCAGTTAAAATTTTAGATTATAATTGAATATTAAAAACATTACCTAAAGCATGAATTTTTAGATATAATTGAATTTTGAAAAGGTTTCAAATTAAAATCTTTGAAAATTTGAATTTTTCATCGTTTTAACTAACAATTCTGTAGAATAAATTTTTTTGAAAAAGTTTAACTGAATTATTATTTGAAATTATTCTAGTTTTTTATTTTCTAATATATGTTTAAATAATTGAAAAATTTCCGAATAATCGAAATTATTAAAAATAATTGATTTAAAGAAGAATTTTAGTTAAAAATTCTAGAAAATAATAATTAAATTGACATGATAAAAATACTTTTGAAAGTTACGGTAACAATATTCTTATAAGTGATTGCGGATTTCAAAAGTTTTGAATTTGAAATTTTTGAAAATATTAATTCTTATGGAAAATTAATATTAATTAAATATTTATTTTGAATAAAACTATTGACGTTTTCGAATAATTCTACAATTAATGAAGTTTGCAAGTAAATGTGTTAGAACATTTCTTTTGAGTATCTAATCATTTTTGGAGTAAAGTAGATTATTTTTTAGGGTCAGGGAAAAAGTCAAAAATCTGTCTGTAAATCGGGAAAAATTCAGTGAGAGACAAAATTAAATTTTTATGTCAACCGTGCAAATAATTCTTCCTTGAGTTCATTAAATTGTATTTGAACCAATAATTTCAGTATTTGAAGCAAATATGAATTGAACCATTTAATTGACTCAATTAAAATTTATTTAGTTTTAAGTAAATATTTATTTGATAAAATAGACAAGTAATCGGTTATTTGAATAAAATATTTTTTTTCAATTTGTGTAGAAATTAGAAAGATAAGAAATTTTTGTTGTTTTTCCAAAAAAACCAGCTCTTCTATTCGAGTTTGAAACAAAAATTCGTGGAGCTGAGTAAAAAAAGGGAAAAAGTCTAATTTATTAAAATAGAGGAAAAATAAGATGAAAGAAAGTGGAGCTAAGTAAAGAAGGAAAAAAGCCCAATTTGTGAAAATAGAGGAAAATAAAGAGAATATGGGAAGCACTAAAAAGTCTGGTATTGAAAAATCCCCAAAAAAAATTATTTTGTTTCGAAACAAAATTTCCGTGATTTTCTCCTCCTTCTTAAACAAAAAGAAAAATTGAAATTAATTTAAATAAATAAAATAAATTTAAAAAAAATATATTTTTTCAAAATAAAAAAGGAAAATAATGATAAAACTGAATAGGGGAAAAAAGGTGAATATAAAGTGGAAACTTACCCTTTTCGAGTGGTGCTCGTTTATATTTTTCCAGTCTCTTAACGGCGATGGCTTCCAATCGTACCCTGGCTGCCGGATATTCCTTGAGAACGTCCCACATGTCCTTTTTGCTGAGAACGAATAGATCCGAGTAGCCAACTGATCTCACGCTCGCTGTTCGTCGGTTACCTGCGTTGATTTAGCCATTTATCGGTTATTAAGGAGTGCCAAGCGTCTTAACTACTTCCGCTTTTTTTAATTTCGCTATTTTTTATTTATTTATTTATTTATCTATTGTTTTTTTTAATAATTCAAAATTAATTTAATATACATAAGCACCCCTTTTTTTAACGGGATTTTCGTTGTATTATTTTTTTAAGTTTTTTTTATTTTGGTTAAAGTGAAAAGGGGAATTAAAAAAGTGTATAAAAAGAAGAATGCGAGTGCAAAAAATTGTAGTGAAGTGAGAAAAATACAATGTACGTTGAAAGAAAGGGAGCATGGAAAAAATTGTTTTTTTTTATTATAAAAACACGGAAAAATAGTCCATTATCGTAAAATACTTGATTTGGAAATAAATATTCTAAAAATAGGAGAAAAAATATTTGCTTATGATAAAATACGAAATAGGAATTTTTTTAAACTAACTATACTTCAATCAACATTGAAGTATAGTTAGTTTTTGAAAAGAAAGCGAGGTCGATAATGGTTTGGATAACAATTGAAAAAACCATAGATTCTATTGTCTAAACGAATAATAATGAAGGGTAAATAACACATTTCACAAGAGAGAGTATAAAAGAAGGATCCGATTCGTTTTTTCCTATATCAAATTCGTTTCGAAATATCGACAAAAAAATTTTTTTTTGTAAAACGAATTTTAATATTCTGATAGCGAATTAGTAACTTAAAAAAATATATAAAATTTTTGAAAATTAGAATAATAATATAGAAAAATTAGAATTAAATTAGAATCGATAAATATTAGATATAATTAGAATTGAATTAGAATCCAAAAATTACAATATAGAAACGAATAAAATTGGAATCGAAAAATTACCATTAGAATAGAATTAGAATCGGAAAATTAAAATTAGAACCTAATTAGAATCGAATAAAATTTTAATAAAAAAGTTACAATTTATTGGAATCGAATTAAAATCGAAAAATTAAAAGAACCGATTTAAAATAGAATGATATTAGAATTGAAAAACTAGAATTAGAATCGAAAAATTAAAATTAGAATCTAATTAGAATCGAATAAAATTTGAATCGAAAAATTTACATTAAAAATCGAATTATAACAGAAAAATTAGAATCGAATTACTTCGAATAAAATTGGAATCGCAAAATTACATTTGAGCTGGCAAATTAAAGAAGGGCACATAACCAATGTAATTCATATGAATTAGAATTAGAAGCGTAAAATTAAAATTTATTAAACCGAATTAGAATCAAATAAAAATTTGTATCGAAAAATTACAATCGAATTACAATCGAAAAATTAAAATCTGAATTAAAATCAAATAAAATCAGAATTAGAACCTAATTAGAATCGAATCAAAAATTAGAATTGATAATAAATTACAATTAGAATCAAATTAGAATTTGAAAAATTAAAATTAGAATCAAATTATTATTGAATTAGAATTGAATAAAATTAGAATTAGAACCTAATTAGATTCGAATAAAATTGGAATTTAAAAAATTACAATTAGAATCGAAAAATTACAATTAGAATTGAATAAAATTAGAATTAGAATCGAATTAGAATCAAATAAAATTATAATTAGATCTGAATCAAAATAGAAAAATTAAAATTAGAACCTACTTAGAATCGAATAAAATAAGAATTTAAAAATCATAATCAGAATCAAATTGTAATAGAAAAATTAGTATCGAATAAAATTGGAATAGCAAAATTACAATTAGAATCGAATTAGATTCGAAAAATTTAGAATAGAACTTAATTAGAATCGAATAAAATTTGAATCAGAAAATTACAATTACTATCGAATTATAATCAAAATATTCAAATTAAAACCTACTTAGAAACGAATAAAATTTGAATAGAAAAATTACAATTTGAATCGAAAAATTAAAACCGAATTAGAATCGAATTAAAATCGAATAATATTAGAATTAGAACCGAATTAGAATCGAAAAAGTAAAATGAAAACTGAATTAGAATCGAATAAAATTAGAATTAGAACGGAACTAGGATCGTTTCGTAAAAATAATATTAAGACGAATTAGAATCGAATAAATTTAGAATTAGAACCGAATTAGAATCGAATAAGTTTAGAATTAAAACCGAATTAAAATCGAAAAACTACAATTAGCATCGAATTAGAATCAATATTTGCAGAAAGTATAATTTTGTTTATTTGGAAAATATTTTTTGTTTACAAGGGCGTATAAAAATAAATTTCCCAAGAGAGAAGGAAAAAAAATTTTTCAAATAAAAGAGAAGACGAGAAAAATGTTGCTATTTCTAATGTAATTACTGAAAAATTCTTCTTATATATGCTGCCATTTCTCCTAGAGACAAAATCATGTCCTTATAAATAAAAGATGAAAAAATTAAAAAATTAGGAAAAACGTAGTGATGGAAATTTATGTATTTTAGTAGCGTAACTACTGCATCGTGCAATACTGCAATGCGGAAGGGAGAAGAAAGAGGAGAGAGAGAGAGAGAGAAAGATTTATGAAGACTTTGGACCCATCAGGGGAATCAAGTGTTTTACGATTTTTTTACAAGTTGACTATTCATCGCAAACAACAATCATAATTTAATTCCACGCGCTGATTTATTATCACTTAAGAATTTGTTTCTCAAAAAAAAAAACAATCTTTTCTTCTCATTCGTGTAAAAGGAATTTGTAATCCAGAGTAATATCTGTAGTTAACATTATCCAGAATAATATACTATTTATGATCTAGAATTAAATTTTCCAGGGGAGAGTTTACCGATATTTTTCACTATAGATAGGTACTATATTTAAATAAAAATAATTTAAATATTCCATAAAATTGTTTTTATAATAATTTTTTTAGATTCAGTGAGAAAATTAATATTTTTATTTTGACACTTTTTGAATTATTATTTTTCTTAAAAATTCGTAAATTTTGGAATCCATGCTTAATTAGAATCGAAAAATTAGAATTAAAATCGAAATATAATAGAAAAATTGGAATTAGAACCGAAAAATTACAATAGAATCGATTTATAATAGAAAAATTAAAATTAGAATCGAAAAATTACCAATTAATAATTTCTAAATAATTTTTTTCCAATCTTTATTATACAAAAACAAGACTAATTTTTTAAATTGCAATAATTTATTTAAAATATTTGAATTAACTTCAATACAATTTAACGAAATTTTCAATTATTTGAAAATATTTCAATTAACTGTTTTTGGGAATTCAATTAGTTTGAAGAAATTTTGATTAAATTTTAATTACAATTTTTCAGAAACCCAATTTGTTTGAAATTTCTAAATTAAATTATTCAATGCTTCAGTAATTTTGATACATTATTTTAAATATTTATTGTTATTTATTTTTCCACAAGAAGTAAAATTTTAAAAGCTAAAAATTTTAAATCTTCGGAAATTTAATTATTTCTAAAAATTACAACTGTAATTCTTTCTAAAATTCAATTATTTTTTAGAACTTTTAGGTAAAATAAATTGTTTTTTAAAACAATTTTTTTTCACAGTTTCAAATGTTAAAGTTTGCAGACCTGACTGTATTTGTTGAGGATTTGATTATTAAAAAATAATTTCAAATTAAACATATATATCCAAATATTAAATTAATTTCTAATAAATATGGATAAAAATTTTTCGAAAAACTAAGTTTTTTAGAATTTTTAATTTCAATTATTCAAAATTAAAATTTTCAAAACTTTTAATTTGAAAATTTTGAAATTTAAGTAGTATTAGTGAATTTGCATATTTTCAACTTGAAATGATAGAAAATTTAAATTTAAAATAATTTTAATTAAAAATTCTGGAGAAGTTATTTTTTAAAATTATTTTTATTTAAATTGTTTCGAAATTGTTCGAATTTTTGAATATATATTTAATTGAAAAATGTTTGAATGGACAAATGGATTTTAGAATTATTTTAGGTACCTAAACTTTATTCTTTGTTAAAAAAATCGAATTCTCAAAGAATTTTCCCAAAAATTTATTAAAAATAATTGATTCTTAAAGAACTTAATTTTAAAACTTATTATTAAAAATAATTAATAATTAATACAGGGGAGAATTCTTATTAAAAATTGTATAGAAAATAATTAAATTGAAATCTTTGAAAAACAATTTTATGGAAGATTTAAATTATTTTCTTGATAACGTTAAAAATATCGGTGAACCCCTCCCCTTAAAAATTTATTCAAAAGTAGAAAAAACGGAATTATATAGAATTTAAAAAAAAATAATTCTCCCTCGTTAGTAACGAACTTTTTTCTTTAATACGAAATTGGAATTTCTTTTTTAAGGGAATTTGAAAATAATGGGCGAGTTATTAAAATTTAAATCTACGATGCAAGTGCTGCTTTTCTAAGGACAATGGACTGCTACTATAGAATAAAAAAAAAAGAACGAAAGCTTTTTTTTCTTCTCTTCAAAATATCATTCGGTTTATAGTGAAAGAAAAGCAGTTAAATAATGTGGAATAATATACGAGAGCCTATATAATATTATATAATAATTGAAATAAAAAAATATGGGATTAAAAAGGGGAAAGACATCACAGCAGATCACAGCAGATTTAAATATGGGTTTCTGAGATACAACGTCATATTTATATATATATATATTCGAAAAATAATTGAACGAGCGTATAGAATATATATATCGTGAGAATATTTAAGTGGCAGTGCAACAAATTTTATAATATCACAGGACGTAAAGCATTAGGAATTTTATATAGAAAAACACGTTACACATAAAAAAAGGAACAGAAAAAACTATTATAAAATTCATACGTCTTCTAATTCTACTTTAAAGTTTGAGTAAAAGTATTCACTTTTACAATGCATTTTCGTGCAAAGGAATTATATAATAACATTTTCTTTATTTAAAGAGACAATTATAATACCATTAATTATAAAACCTCCAATATTTGCAAATTTTTAACTAGAAAACTTATTTTTAAATTCTAAAAAAAGTTTTTAA